CATCGCTGCCTACGCCGACGGCCAGAGGCCCGCGCATCTACATTTTTTCGCCTGACCCCATCAGTGCCGACCCAACTACACCACCACGCGCATGCCTCGCGGCGGATATGCGCAGCAGCAAGAAGGTTTCGGTCATCCCTTGAGGGTGAATCTAGCCCTGCTCGCCAGAAAGACCCCCCCCTTCACTACAACCCATGTCTAAGCAAAAGCTTGTCGAGGAGCGAGGGGAAGAAGGGAGAAGGGCTCCCCATTTATTGTGGACTTTAGAGCTAGTGTGAGAAACAACAACAACAACAACAACAAGTCTCTACAGACTACTCTATTCAGAATGGCCATCAATATACTGTGGTAGTGTTAGTCACCGCTGGGGTCAGCATGATCGAGCCGAAGAAGTACACCTTAGTCTCCTAAAAAAAAAGGTGGTATTGTTGTTGTCTTGACATCAACAACCGTTCCGTTCTCTCTACCCAGTCAGTGTAGTAGGACTGCTGCTGCTGCAGTACCTTCTTCCTCCGTACTACTGACGCGGTCGATTCCCGTGGTCACAGGCTAACTTACTACCCAACAAAAATAAAATAGACCCGAACAACCGAAGGGTCCGCAAGTCAGCAGAAATCAACGACAGAAATATGTTTTTTTTGTTTTTTCCTTCCATCATTGGACTCTGTCGTCTGCCCCTCTGGCCCCTATCCTCCACTTCTACCAGCTAGATGACCCAACCGGGATCGCATAGGAGGGGGGCGTCGGACCCCATCCTGCGGTTCCTGCCTGAGATATTTTTATCGCGAGAAGGGTACAGCAATCCCTTCCCTCGCGACTTACGAAGTCGATCAAGTTTACTACCAACGAGCTTTACAGCGCGTCGCGTCTGTAGGACACCCGCTCGCCTCTCACGTCATGACGCTACGCAAGGTACCCAAGACTGAAAGAGAAGAAAAAATAAAAAATATACAGTCTAGACTATTGCTGTAGAGAAGGGGTGCTCGTCCAAAAGGAAGTCTAGATAGTTACATCAGTGGACTAGTTGTCGCGACCGGCCTGGATACCCTCAAGTTTTTTGTGGTTCTTGGGATTTGAATTATTTCACGCATAGTCTAGTCCATGCATAGTCTATGCTCAGATACATGCAGTTGTGGAAGCTCAGATGCTTTCGATATGATAAGCGTGGTCGCGGGAAAGTATGACTGACTGCATCATCAGCACAGCAGCAGGTTTATTTGTACCTGCATGTGACGCCGTGCATTCTATCGCGCGTGCTACCTACTGGATGAAGTGAGAGAAGGCCAGGGGGGGGGGGACGCAAGCCAAACAACCCTACCGGCCACGAGGCAACCTGTCGGGGTCAGATTAGATTGATAGAGGAAATGCGCATGGAAAAGCAGGGCCACGCGTGTCATCATGTAGACTACACATCGTACACCATCAGTGTAGACTTGATGCTTCGTCGGTGGAATGGTTACTGTCGATAGTCCCTGCTTCATTCATTGTTTAGACGGGGTTCAATGCAGCATTTTTCGGAGAACGGACGACAACGAACGGCACAAGTGCTGTTCTTGCTGCTTGCTGATGTGCTACGCACCCTTCCTACAACTAACTGCGTTGTTTGCCAGGCAGCTCATGCAAACAGCGAGGACGGGCAGTGGTACGCCGCTATTATTTTTGTTGGGGTGACCGGGTTTTGAAAACTTTTATCTCGGTTGCCGAACAACAACAACCAATCGCGCAGCTAGCAGCTAGTGGCCACAAGCAAGCACGTACACATACATATTGAGGATCATCAGAGGTGCGCATACCAGAGTATCTTCAAGACACGGTTTGGCGGCCGCCAGCTACGTACATACCCACGAGCGCTTGGGGCACCTCGAGGCCCGGCCCAGCGAAGAACCGCGCGAGCCAGACGGTACGACCTGTTACCCCCACATCATTTCATCCTCGCGCAGGAATGGCAGCTGGCTGCAGCGTGCACGCTCAAGGGGGAGGATATTCGGCGTCGTTGTCTGGATGGCCATGTGAACGGCGAGTCACCCCTACCGCTGTGATTTCTACCAGCGGTTGCTGGCGTCTTCTCTTCTCGGCGCTCTTGCTGGCCGTAGGGACAGGTGACGCCCAAAACGACGACCAATCCTATGCTGAAGATGGCACGGAACGAGGGCCCAACTCCAAGGTCGCCAAGGAGGCTGAGGTAGGTGTTCTCCTACGTGAACCACACACGGACAGGCCCTGTCCCGTCGCTGCACGACCACTACTGCGCTGTGGCGTTGCAAAAAACACGCATCCGGGGGAACTTCTAAGATTTTCGGTGTAAAAACTTTAGACGATGTAGTCTAGTCTAGTCTTTGTGCGATCTGCACACGCAGTAACTGCAACTCAACAGGCACCAGGGAAAAATCTGGCAAGCGATAGGTATGTAGTCTAGACTACATTCGGCAGCAACGGGAGGTGGACACTGAAAAGCATACTTTCCCGATGTTGGAGCTGCAGCAGCAGTAGTATAGCGTGGTTTCGGATCTCCCCGGATGGAGAGAGGATAACCTTGCAGACACCGAGGAAAACCCTGCAGACGAGCGCGGATTTCGCAAGTCCCAACAACAAAGCGGAGGGACTCTTGAACCCTACACAGAAAAATCGAACGCAGAACGCTGTGAAGTGCCGCACGCTAACTAGAAAACGTCCACCAAAAGTTTTTTTGTAGACCCAATGCTGTTGCTCATGTTCTGTGGAAAAAGAAAAAGCTGATTCAGGGTCTGCCTTGAGGCGCAAGATTGGCCGCATCTTGTTTCCGGGGGGGTGCCGTGAAAGTGTCTGTTCAGCAGTAATTGATTGGTTTCATGCAGTGTTCGTAAATAGATTGCCTTCGTTGTTTGTGCTCTAGCACACATGCACCGCAGGAGGAAGCTGGGGCACGTAAAAAGTATATGTGGGAAAATAAACGCGCCGATACCATCACCTGCGTGACCCTGGATGGTTGTATTCATTATGTAGTTACATTCCTTGTTGCCTTCAACTTTCTGTTGCATGCCTGATGTCTTGCATACGTTTGAACGCAAAGACTTCATTGCCGTACACTCACCGGGCCGACCTGCTGCTAACGAACCCTAGCAATGTGGCGTACACCACAACAATTCAGCTTCAGAAATATCACACCACTCGGAATACCTTGTGTTGTCTTTGGTACTGATGTTTGGAATGATCGACCTGTTGTAGAACAAGGATTGGTGGCGAATCGGAAACCAATCAAGAGGTCCAGGACCCAGTTTCCTTCAGTTTCATCTTTCAACCAAGTTGATCTGGCACTCAGTTCTTTTCTGAATCATTCTGAGTGCTGTAGTTCGAAGGAGTAGGAGGCTGACAAAGGTTCAACCGGGATTGGTCATGGCCAGAAAGAACACCAGCAGTAATGCCACCACCATCGCCATCATCACCGCAACTATCATCGCCAACTATCGTTATTAGGACCGTTTTAAACGGACCGACTTTTTTGTCAAAATTTTCGACAGTTGTCTTTCTAAAACTTGGAACCTGTGCAGTCATTTTAAACGTGTGACGTAGACTTGGGCAACTTGTGTAAAAAAAAATGACGCCGTCCGTGAGTTGTAGCGCTCATTTCGAGACAACACAGACGACACAACACAAACCGCGGAAAACACGACATCATGGACACCGACATGGATATCACGACCACCCAGCGTGGCCGGCAGACCAAAACCCCGGCGAAATTCCAGCAGACGGGCTCTCTCGGTGCCGCCGTAGGCGGTGGAGGCTTGCTCTCCAGCAAGATAGTGCTGCTGCCTGGCATCTCGGGGAACACTCATGTTACCACGGGAGGCGCTGCCGCCACCAACACTCCGCCGGCGAGGGGTGGCAACCACTGCTCCTACCCCCCCGGGAAAAGGAAAAAACAAAGCGGCGGACGCGAAGCAACAACTGCAAGCCATCATGGCGGACCGCCGTTTTTTTTTTTTGTATTGCGCGTGCCCGTGGGCGAGGAGAGCCGCTCGAATCTGTAGGCGCGCCGCGCTTTCTACGGTCGGCCATGACCCACACACAACCCTAGCTGACTTTCTACGGTGAGGGGCACTCGTGGTGCAGACGCAGCAGCCCTCGCGTGCCTCTGCAAGGGTACTTTGGAAAGTGCTCCAAATACTTTGAGAGGGTTGTCAAAAAGTTGGAACGAAGTGGAGCAAAGTTTTCGCGCCCAACTTCGTTCCAAA